TGTGTGGGGTTCAGTGTATGTTTTGAGCTTTAGCAGTGTTTCTTTTATGAATGTCGGTTCCCTTGCATTTGAGTATAGATGTTCAGAATTGAGACTTTCTCTTGGTGGATTTTTCCTTTGATGAATATGAAGTGTCCTTCCCCATCTCACTAGATAAGTTTTGATTGAAAGTCTATTTTATTGGACATTAGACTGGCAACTCCTGCTTGTTTCTTGGGACCATTTTCTTGGAAGACTTTTTTTCATCCTTTTACTCTGATGTAGTGTCTGTCTTTGTCATTGACGTGTGTTCCTTGTATGTAACAAAATGCTGTATTTTTTTGCATACCCAGGTTGTTAGCTTATGTCTTTTTATTGGGGAATTGAGTCCATTGATATTGAGAGATATTAAAGACAGATGATTATTAGTTCCTACTTTGTTTGTTGTTATAGATGGCATTATGTGTATGTGATTTTCTCCTTTTGGTTTTGTTGTGAGATGATTAATTTCTTGTTTTTTTCTTTGAAGCAGATATCCTCCTTATGTTGGAGTTTTTCTCTAGAATCTTCTGTAGGGCTGGATTGTTAGATAGATATTGTTTAAATTTAGTTTTGTCATGGAATATTTTGGTCTTCATCTATAATGACTGAGAGTTTTTTAGGATATAGTAGCCTGGCCTAGCATTTGTGTTCCATTAGGGTTTGCATGACCTCTGTCCAGGCTCTTCTGGCTTTTAGATTCTCTGTTGAGAAGTATGGTATAGTTCCTATAGGTCTGCCTTTATATGTTACTTGGCCTTTCCCCCTTACCCCATTTAAGATTCCTTCTTCGTTCTGTATATTTTTCGTTTTGATTATCATGTGATAGGAGGAATTGCTTTTCTGGTCCAACCTATTTGGTGTTCTGTAAACTTCTTGTACATCTATGGCCCTGTCTTTCTTTAGGTTAGGAAAATTTTCTTCTATGATTTTTATTGAATGTGTTTTCTAGACTTTTGAACTGGGAATCTCACTTTCTTTTATTGTGGTTGTCTCTTACGATCTGGTAAACCTACTTTAAGATTTTTTGACTATTCCCCACTATGGTATACCAGGTTGTATTCCCACCGAATTGGATGAGGATTCTCCTTTGCCCATATGTTGTCAGCACTGGAATTATCTTTTTTAAAAAAATTAATTATTTTTTCTCTTACACATTACCTCTCAACTGCAGTTTCACCTCCTTCCTGTCTTCTCAGTCTCTGCCACCCATCTCCCCTCCCCCCTAAATCGACTCCTCCTCAGTTTCCTTTCAGAAAAGAGTAAGCCTCCCAGGAATATCAACCAAGGTTGACATGGCAAGGTACAATAAGACTAGGCACAAATCTTCAAATAAAGGCTAGGAGAGGCAAACCAGTAGGAGCAAAAATATACCAAAAGCAGGTAAATGTGTCAGGTATAGGCCACATTCACTCGGTTAGGAGTCCCACAAGAACAAGCTACAAAGCCAAAACATATATGCAGAGAACTTAGGTCTGAACCATCAGGCGCCCCGATTGTCTCTGGTCTTTGGGAACCTCCCCGAGCCCTGCCTAGTTGATACTGTGGGCTGTTTTCTTGTGATATGCTTCTAGCTCCTCCCATGCCTGATTTCCTCTGGAATTATCTCATTGACATAATTCCTGTAATTGCCTTCCAAGTATTTTATTGATGAAATTTACATTTACAGTCATGGTGGTTTGAATTAGAGTAGCCCCCTATTGGATCATATATTTGAATGCTTATTCATTAGGGAGTGAAACTCTTTGAAATGATTAGAAGGATTATATTATGTTTCATATAATTCCATGAAAACTTAGAAAGATTAAAACCATGCAGCGAAACTATATTAAATTCAAAATATTCTAAGGACCGGCTTCTAAACAAATAGTGCTTATGAAACCAGATGTTCACAGGTAGAAGTATGAAGCTAGATTCCTCTCTCTGAACCACAGCAACAACAAAAAAATATACACAAAATGGAACAATAAGTTAACCAGCTAGATAAAGGCATAGGGAAAATACTTCAAAGCATAGGCTTACCAAGAAATCTCTGAGTCGAGCTCTAATAGTTCAAGACCCAACTGAGAGAACTGTGAGGGGAGTACACATAACTACAGAGCTTCTACATTGAAACAAAGAACACAGAAAAATTGGGAGACTGAGAGAAAGCATCTGCAAGCAATTTATCTCATGGGGAATTAGCATCCATAGAATATAAAGACTAAGAAAGGCCAATTTTGAAATAATAAAAAATTCAATGTGCAAATGAACCGAACTCAAGAAAACTAATGAAAGAAAATGATCAATATCCTTACTCAAAGGGATAATTATAATCAAAGCTACAGTTAAATTTCATTCCATAGTAAGGATGTCTTTATTTACGAAAACGAAAACAACAAAAGTTGTTAAAGATGCAGCAGACCAGAAGTTCCCAAGGCAGTCTTCCCAATACCTAGTATGTGTATGCTGAGCACCAGCTGGACTCAGGGAATTACTGATAACAACAACAATAATAAAGAGCATACAAGGAGAGGGCTATGGATTGGAGAGTATCTTGGAAATTTAGACAGAGGTAGTTGGGGAAAAGGTGACCAAAATACACTTTAAAAAATGTATTTAAAAACAAGCTTTTAAACATTGTTAATAGGAATGTAAATCAGTACAACCCCACTGGAATTCAGCATAAAACTTCCCCCTAAAACTCCAAATAAACTAGATCATCCTAAAGCAATCTTAGGTAAATACCCAAATGCATCGATTAGTGTAAAATAGGATACCTTCATATCCAGTAGCTACTACTCACAATAGAGAAAAAAATCAGTCTGACTGCCTGTCAGTGTATGAGTAAATTTAAAATATATGGTAAATATATACAATAGAATAAAAGGAGAGTAAACAATTAAGAGAAATAAGCAAAACTCAGGAAAACACAGAAAACTGCATGTTTTCTCTCCTATGTGAAATCTAGATTTAAAAATGTTATGTGTAGAGGAGAGAGAAGCAAAACATCAGAAAGGGGAAAAATATAATGAAGGAAGGTATATATGATCAAAGTTCATTATATACTTGTATGAAAATTCCATGATAAAGACTTTTGTACAAGTAATGTGCCAATAAAAATTGGAAAATATACAAGTATGCTAATTTCATTATTTAGATTTATTTCTATTTAGAATTTCTATTTAGAAAGTATACTTATCTTAAAATATTTAGTACATTTCATTAATCCAACTCACCTATTAAAAATTGCTTAAGGAACACATACTATGCAACAAATTGTTCTGTACATGAACTCAAAAATTAAACACAAAAAGAATGTTGGACATAAGGAGTTCACCTTCAAGTGTTCACATCTGAGATAATGCTCTCAGTCTCAGCTAATAAATTCACTATACGTCACCTCTTGTGAATTCTGTACATAATATAAAAAATAAGTTTATGACAGAAAAAAAGACAAAATACCATCCTTCTATGTACACTTCCTCTATTATTTATGAATGATGATTGAAAACTTAGCTTTTAATTATTAAAAAAATAACATATAAAGAAAAAATTTAGAAGTAACTCTATAACTGGTAAAGCCTGCAGAGTCTCCAAGACAGTCATCAGTCTCTGCTTAAGATGGCTTCTTCCTGGAGTCAACTGGTGTGATCATCGTTTAGATTTTGTTTAGGCTGCCATATTGTTGAGATTCTGTGAGTGTAGCATTTTGTTTGGAAGACTGTCTCACATCAGATGTCCTAGTACCCTCTCTCTCTGTCTTTCCATCTTTCCTTCATGGTATTTCCTGGGGAGGTTTATGTTGTAGATGTACAAGCTGGGGCTGAGGACCCTATAGTCACTCATCTTTGCAGTTTTACTAGTTGTGGATCTTGGTAGTAGCCTCTGCCTACTGCAAAACAAGATTTCTTTGATGAGGTCTGAGAATTGGACTTATCCTTGAGATTAAAGAAAGGCATTTAACACATTGTTAGAAACTATATTAATTTAGGTAAATGACATTAGTTGGTTCTTCTTTAGAGTCTTTGTCCTCTTTGAGCAGACTTGGAGTGTCATCTAGGTTTACAGTACCAAGCTTCAGTTCCGTCCTGTTGAGTACTCCTTAAGACCAAGTAGGTGACACTAGTTATTCCCAAGATAAAAGTTGCACTATTGCACCTTTAGGGGTATCTTGGCAGGCCAGTTGTTGCTTTTGCTTTTCAGGCTTTATAGGTCTGTACAGACAAATGTATTGATTACATTTGTCTTTTGTCTGGTTGGATAGCATGTTCTGATAACTAGCCCTCAGGGAAAAAGCCTCCACATCAGTACTGGTTCAGTTCCTCCAGTCCTATGTTGGAAGTGCGCGTTATGTTCCGCAGTAGCATCTTACTTGGAAATTGTAGGGCTGTAGCTAAGGACATTGGGGAATATCTCATATTTTGAGAGGATCTCTAGAACTCTTGACCAACAGCTTGATGGTTTCCTTTTCCTTACACTGGGGTATTTGTTAAGTAAGCTATTATTCCTGCATGGAACATTATCACCCATGTGGCATAAATCTATAACACACACACACACACACACACACACGCACGCACGCACGCACGCACGCACGCACGCACGCACGCACGCACGTGCATGTGCGCACACACACACAGTCCCTAGTTCTGAATACTTAGCTTCGAGTACATAGTCTGGTATAAGTGCAGAAGCTGGAAGGTAAAGGTGATTGGAGAGGAAAATTATGAGCTCAAGAGATGGAGTTGAGGACACAGGGGCTTCGAAAGGGCAAAGGGGCAACGTATGGGATGCTTAATTAGGGAGTGGAGGGGATGTGTTACAGGAGAGGGAGGACAAAGAGATAAGTAGCACTAAATGTTTTTGAGGAAACTACTGGAAAATATTTTGATTTTATTTTTTCAAATTCTTGTTATATTGGTAAAGTAGTTATAACAGTTAAATCCATATTTTCTAATAGAAACTTTTGGTTTCATCACCTTAATTAATTTTTCACATAGTTTCTGGATCAGAGATTTCCCAAGAAGCTGATGACATGGCTATGGAGAAAGGAAAGTACGTTGATGAGCTGAGAAAGGCACTGGTGCCAGGCTCGGGAGCAGCTGGGGCATACAAGTTCATCTTTTCTAAGGAGTCTTGCCATTTCTCCCTGGAGAAAGAACTGAAAGATGTTTCCGTAAGTAAACCTTTGCACAGGTGTGTTTTTACTGATAAATTTGCTTTCACATTTAAGTGGCAGGTCTATCATTCTTGGCACAACTCTGAAATAAATACCAAGAAATTGCTTGGGATCCTCATTAGTATGCTTCAGTTTTTATAAAGGAAATCACATACATAAGAAATGGTTCTCTGAGGGTATTTTCTCTCTGTGTGTGCATGCATCTGTGAGAGTGTGTGTGCGTGTGTGTAGTGTGTGTGTATCTGTGTGTGTGCGTCTCTCTGTGTGTATGTGTGTGTGTCTGTGTGTGTTGCATCATGTGTGATGGTCATAGCTTCAAACCTCAGACCGTCAGCCTGGTTAGCAAGCACCTTTACCTACTAAGCGATCTTACAGTGTTTCAGAGTTAAAGGTCAGGACGTATTTCTTTTAACACACTGTGCAAAGTAAGCACTAGGATATGTATTCACTCATCAGTATTTAAAACGCTTTAAGTGCTATAGTTAATTACATGAATGAACAAGAGTACGAGATCATTGCAGCCTGACTTTCTCAAAATAAGTTTGGGAAAATACAGAGTTTTAGGAAGAAAACATTAAATTTACCTTTGCCTATTTAATAATTGATTTGTTTTCTTCCTTTGAGTATATTTAAAATTTTATCTTATTATTTTAGTACATTTTAATTTTTTGATTTGTGTTGGTGCTTTGCTTGCATATGTGTCTTTGTGAGGGTGTTAGATCCCCTGTAACTGGAATTACAGACAGCAGTGAGCCACCTGCCACACGGATACTAGGAATTGAACCTGAGTCCTTTGTAAGAGCAGGTGGAACTTTTACCTGTTAAGTCATCTCTCCAGCCTTCTATATTTAAAATTTTAAAACAACATAGTTAATTGTAGTAATGCATATCATTAATAATTAAGGAAACATTATTTGTATTGTTATACTTAAAAACAGTAAAGTAGAAATGACTTTGTGTCTAAGCTTTCTAAAGATTGCATGCTCTCTAGACAAGCATATCTGCTACTTGGCTCAGTTTCTGCACCCATTGTGACTAAGAAGCTAGCTACTTTAAAAGTTTGTGCTTAGTCTTTTTACAGCCTACCTAAATTAAATACACATTAAATTTGCTTTTGCCTTTGGTTTATTAATCATATGAGATCTACAACATAAGAAAAAGAACTTTATTAGGTTCATTTATGGTAACTAAGAAATTGATTCTTGTTTATTTTATTTTCTTGTTTTGTTTTTAGTTAAATCTAATTTTTAAATGCTTTTAAAGCAGTCTTTTAAACTTGGAATAGTAAAGGAGATTTATCAATCTGAGAAGTATTTGAAGAAATAAATAAAATTATTATTTTCAAATATATGTTATTGTGGGGAAATAATGGAGAATGACTGTCTTTTGTAATTTCATTTACAAGGTCTATATTTACATTCACTGTCAATGCATGTTTTTATTATGTTGAGGTTATTCACATAATAATTTAAAATAGGTGAAGATTTTAACTGACACATTCAGTTTCATATCAATTGTTCTCTTCTGTGGTCCAAGCTCAATCAGATAACATTAAATACCCTTACAAATGCTGCCTGTTCTTCTCTTATTGCAAAGTAGAACACGTCAAATTAAGAACAGTGATATTTCCTATTCAACAGATATTTATTTTTAGCAATTTGTGTTATTTTGTGATAATACATGCCAAGTTACTGTGATGTGGTGGCAGGCTGGGGTCGGCAGGTGCAGTGCTGGAGGGCTTGCTCTGGCTGCTTGCTTGTGAATTGTGCTTTGTTGATTCTGTGAGGAAAAACCTTTAATTCCTCATGGCTTACATCATTTACAGTTGTCTTGCTATAAATAAATTATAGACTGGCTGTAATCCTGGAAACTTTCTTGCTTTCTATCCTGAAATTAATCACTCACTATCAAAACCAAGACCTTGAATATTATTTTTGACTAATTTTTACTAGTGATAAAACAACATAAATATACTCAGGAATGCTGAGACCTTAGACAAATTACCTTCAACTATCATAGTGCAGTTGAGATGGGTGCTGCTATATTTACTGTTGCACACTGTTTATTGTTGGTAAAGTATGTTCATGCCTGGATTGCTGGAGAGAGAATTTTGAATGTTTAATTGAGGTAAAACTTTCTGAGCTCAGGTCAGCTTTTGAGATGCAAGCGTATTCAGTTAGACTTCCTTAGGAGTCTTCTATTATGCCATGTGTTCTGTAAACTGATTTCAGAGTGATACTATCTTATAAATTCATCTGCTGGCAAAAATGTGCTGACAGTTTCACACATGGCAAAATGCTCTAAGGTTCATTGCACTTGAATGACCCCAACATTGTGAAGGGGTTTGTAATGCTTTCCTTAATGACACAGATAACTGACATTTGCCAAAAAATGACCACGGAAACTCAGAAGGATGGGAAAGAATGTACAGATTCAACTCAGAAAGATGTTCTAAAGTTTGTTTTGTTTCCACATAATACTGTTTCCATGGCACAGAGACCTTTGAATCCCTAGTCCAGTTTCTCGAGTCTGGCCCTCTGGCAGGCACAGTTTGAGGGCATTTGCCTTCTTCAAATCTTTCATGTGCCAAGTCGTGTTTTCAGGATCACTGCACAACCTGAACATTTCGAGTATACAAGTCATGTAAGCATTATGTGAAATTTACAGTTTTACTTCCCCCTTTAAGAAAGGAAATTACTATTATCTTTTTAATTTTAAAAGACCTATTTTTGAGAAAAATAGTTCATATTTTTACTGAGTACTAGAATTTTCAATTTTCAGTCTAAGGAGATACTTAGATACATAACCCGTTTGTTGATATTCAGGTTTTAGGAAAGAATGGATTCCCAGCTTTTATGAGATTAGTTCTAAATTTGTAGCTAATCCCTTGAATGTGTGTATGTTCTGATTAGATTTTTTTTTCAGGATTAGGATGTATACTCACTAGAATAAATATTATATGATCATCTAGACACTAATACCGTTTCCCTCTAGTGTGAACCTCTGTGAGCTCACCACTATGAACTGTGTTGGTGACAGTAAGGAACTATGTTGGTGACAGTAAGTTGATGTGCACTCTAGTGTGAGGACAGGGAGTTGATCATGAAAAAACATGATCATACAAAACCTGTCTCTGCCAGATTATTCTTTCAACTTTTCAGACGTCATGCTGATCCTGTGGTAGACACTTGGTCAGTTGACACTAAATCTTCATAATATAATTCTCTTCTTATTTTACTTTAACTAGATTTATTTTGGTAATAAATCATAACTAAATGTATATTCTCCTTTTATACATATGACTGCAGTTTCCTTTCCCTCCACTTCTCCCTGCCTCCTTCTCCCACCTTCTTTCTCACCTGTATCTACTACTCCTCTGTGTCTCTTCAGGAAAGAACAGTCTTCTCAGGGATATAAACTGAATATGGCATAACAAGTTACAATAAGACTAGGTATAAACCCTCATGTCAAGGCTGGACAAGGCAACCCAGTAGGGAGGCAAAGGTCCCAACAGCAGGCAAGAGTCAAACACCTCCTACTCACACTGTTCAGAGGGCCACATGAACACCAAGCTACACAACAACCTTGTAGGTTGTAGGCAGACAACCTAGCATAGATCTATGCAGACTTTATGATTGCTACTTTGGTCTTTGTAAGCCCCTTTGAGCCCTGTTTAGTTGATTCTGTGGGCCACATTCTCTTGCTGTCCTATACCCTTCTTGGCTTCTATAGTCTTTCCTCTTCTTTGTCTGTGGGGTTTCCCAAGCTCTTCCTAATGTTTGGCTATTAGTTTTTTTCGTCTGCCCTCATCAGTTGCTCGATGAATCCTGTCAGATGACAATTGGGTCAGGCACTGATCTGTGAGTGTAGCAGAATACCATTAAGAATCATTTTATTGGCTTCTTTTCCCAGCTGTGTTTGGTTCTAGTCTAAGTCTCTGGTCTATTTAGCCTCTCGTTCCTGACCATCATTGGTTGGCCACTTGGACAAGTTCTGCACCACCATTGCCACAGTGTATCTTGCAGACAGGACAAATTATAGGTCAAAGGTTTTCTGGCTGGATTTCTGTTTCAGACCCACCACTGGAAGCCTTGCCTGGTTTCAGAAGAGAGCCGATTCAGACTATGTATCTTCTATTGCTAGTAGTTCTTGCTCGTGTCACGTTCATAGATTCCAGAGAGTTTCCATTGTTTTCTACATTGCTCTCCTAATGTTCTCTATTTTCAGTCATATTTCCCTGTACTCTCTTCGACTCCCCAAACCCCACCTGAACCCTCCTCTTCCCATTCACACCTATCCCAAGTCCACCCACAAAATTCTGTTATATTCCTCTTCCCAGGGAGATCCATGTGTCCTTCCTTGAGCCCTCCTTTTCACTTAGCATCTCTAGATATGTGGATTATACAATAATTGCCTTTACATAACAACTAATATCTACTTATATGTTTGTACGCACCACATCTGTCTTTCAGGGTCTTGGTTAACTCATTCAGGATGATTATTTCTTCTACCCGTTTGCCTGCAAATTTCATGATGTCATTTTTTTACTAGCTGAGTAATACTACATTTGTAAATGTACCACCTTTTCTTTATCCATTCTTTAGTTGAAGGCAACCTTGTTTCTAGTTTCTGACTATTATGTGAATAAGGAATATATGAACATAGTTGATATGTGGTAGGATCCTTGTGGTAGGATGGAATGTCTTATGGACATACTCCCAAGAGTGGTATTGCTGAGTGCAGACTTGTATCGAGTCTTAATTTTTTGAGGAACTGCCATATTGATTTCTATAGTGGCTCTACAAGTCTGCACTCCCTCAGGCTGTGGAGGAGTGTTCCCTTTGCTCCACATCCTCCCACCATGAGCTGTTACTTGTGATTTTGAGCTTAGCTATTCTGACAGGTGTTAGATAAAATGGAATCTTATCTTACCAACAGGCAGGTCATGCAATCAAAACCTAAACATAAATACTGGACCTAATAGACATTAAAAACCA